AAAAAATAAAAAAAAAAAAAATGAATAAAAAAATAAATGAAAAGTATGAAAATTCTAAAAGAATAGAAACAAATTTTTCTCAATATATTATTTCGTGACGAAATATATTCGAAATAAATATATTGCGAAAAGAAATGTATTATTCTTATTGTTCCTAGAGAGACAGAAAAAGAGAGAAAGAGAGAGAGAAAGAGAGAGAGAGAGAGAGAAAAAAACGATACAACGACGTAAGATGGTTGTTACGTGTAAGACGCGCGCGGCACGTCTGATCCTCTTGCCGGTCCGACGATCGTGTTTTCACACCCCCCCCTCCCACACCACCCAACACACACACACACACATCGTTCACGTTTAAGCGCTCTTCACACGATCGCAAAATATTATCGGTTTGTAAAAGACTCGGTTAAATCGTTTTAAACGTAATTATTGCTTTTCTTAATGAATAACAAGGTATTAATATCGACGATCGAAGATATAACGAAGTCATTATTATAACAATAGCATATTAGAAAAAATATTGCTCTAATATATTATATCACGGATTTATTTAAATCTTGAAAATCGTCCATAGATCTGGCAGATAAATGAATATGTTTATCGTGAATTTCTATCGCAATGAAGTATTTTCGATGATGATTCAAATACCGTGCTATCTTAAGCCACGAGACGATATCGTTTAGTTTAAATAATGTCATTCAGACAACAGAAAAAAATGTACGTTCATCGAGTTAAAAATATTTTAATTATTACGATTCTTTTCAATTATATAAATAATATTTCAAAATGTATAATTAACGTCTTTATTCATTATTTTCTTAGTTATTTTTGTATACCTCACCGCTATACTATTTTTGCATTATCAAGGTTGAACTTTTTTTAAATTTACTAAAACGCACGTACTGTTATAAATCGTAGACAACTATACTGCACCATGAACTCGATGGTGTTAATAATAGTAAAAGATTAGATAAGATATTACATTGAACTAAGATTGTCTATCTTTTTTACGTTTCTTTTTCTCTTCTCTTTTCTTTTTTCTTTTTTCTTTAAGGAAAGATATATCTCAAAAACTAATTCCATTTAATTGAAATATAAGTATTAATATCTATGACGATTTTAAAAGTTATTACGATTAAACGTAAAAAAAAAAATAATGTTAAAATATAAATCACGCGGGAGTTATTCAACGATTTTGAAATATATATTAGATCATGTCAATTATACCTTCTTTTTCTTATCGAGTATACCGTCAAGGTAAACTCGAACCCAACTCGTCTAATGTAAGTTTGCATTTGGTTATCCTAATTACGTAACGGGAAGATAATAAGAAGGCTCTTTACATTAGGCCATAGACCGAACGAGAACGCCTCCGAACGGTCGCAACTACGTGGATTGTCACGTAGCGTTGTCAATGATGTACCGTATAATTTAATCGAACGATGTACCGTTCGTTCTGACATACTGCCACGAAATACAAATGGATATACATATATACTTTCGACTTATACTCGAGTAATTGATTATTCGCAATCGTCTATGTCTTTTGTATGTATTAATAATGTTCATTATAAATTATGCGATTCTATAAAATGTTCCCACGTATGTATCTATTGTTAAAAAAATTATTTATATATTACACACACACCCACATACACACACACACGTATATATATATATATATACACGTATAAAAAGATAAAGTTATAATTGAGTATCATGAAAAATATAAATTATCTTTTTTAATATTTTAATAAAAAAAATCTTGTAAGAAAATTTCTCGTAAAAAAGTCATTATATCTTTTTTTTCCTTTTTTTTTTCTTCCTCGGCCATCGAGTCTACTCGTAAACGTCAAACGTCTAAATCCCACTAAAATGATTTATTTCCAACGATGACCAAGAGAAAACGTAACGAGAATACGTGCCCGTTGAATTACCTATTTAAATCCCATGGCATATGTTTCTTTGCCTTTTTATATATAATATCTATTCTAATATTATAATGCGTATTTAATATAAATATTTTATCAGAAACGTTATCAGGTATTAAATGAAACGTTGTTACGTAAATGGAATTAAGCGGAAAATATCTATGACAAAAATATAATATATGAGATTTGGTTTAATTTTAATGGCATGATTTTTTGCATTATAATGCTTATCTTCGTTTTAATATCCTTGATCGGGAATATTTTCGTTGGACATTAAAGGAAATTGATATAATTAAATAATGAAAATTTAAAATCGAATTGAAATTTAAAATAAAACTTTTGCTTTTATATTTTTGCAGAATCTTCCTTCTTTTTTTTCTCTCTCTCTCTCTCTCTCTTTTTTTAAAACTTTATTAACCGGAAGTAATCATAAAGGCGTGCAAAATTTTCGACATGAGATTTAAATAGGTATTTATTAGTATGCTTAGAACACTGTATTACGATGCGAAAGAGCGAGTTATTTTTGGAAAGTTTCGTGTTAATTACACGAACACAATTAGTCAATAGTTCGAGCCTTGATTTCTTCAAGGATGCAATATCGCATGCTTTCCAAGATTTTCTGATAATCATGCTCTATGATTCATTCAATAACGAACAACAATCATTCATCATCCACCTGCTCTATGGACTATTACAAACTAGTTTGTCGATATTCATTAATAAAACCAGAGACATGCATTTTCAGTGATATCCAACGCATCGACTAATAATTATAATGAATTTTTTATTTTTACTATCCTCTAACTAATCAATATTAATTTATGATATTTTCCGAAAGATCTCACCTAAATGGCGATATATGTTTTATGAATTTTACACGAGGACTAGAACTATGTAGAATATTGTTAAAATATGCAAAATATTCCATTATCAAGCGAACAATGAGATGAATATTATATCAATAATAATAATAATAATAATAATAATAATAATAATAATAATAATAATAATAATAATAATGATAAAAGTAAAAAAGAAAATATCAATTAGCATGTTGTGGCATTACCTTGGGGCTCGTCTCTGCAATGTTGTGACTTTGGTGGCGGCGGGGGTGCGTTCGAGTATTCTATTGGTTCAGCAGAAAAAACAAAAAAAAAAAAATGAAAATAATAATTAGCCCTAATAACACTACAAACAACGAAGGAATCTCGCTGAGACACTGAAATGATAATGATTAATCGATATTCACACAGCACGAGCTTCTTTTTTTTTCTTTTCATTTTTTTTTGTTCTTCTTCATTTTTCTAATATCTATCGATATTGGTGCTTTTCAAAAAAAAAAAAAAAAAAAAAAAAAAGAGAAAAAAAAAAAAAAAAAAAGAAAAAAAAAAGAGTAATGTACTTACATTGATACGAAAAATCTCAAATTATAAATTAAGAAAAATCATCTAATAATACAGAGACGTATATGTGAAATTAATTTTTATCATTTAAGAAATGTTATCAAAATTATTGTTTCTAATTATCAAACAAGCAGACCTTCAAAACTGACGGTAGGCCGAGCAGTGTAAGTTGGCAATGGTGGTAACCAAAACTTGGCTTCTCGTTTAACGATAGGCGAGGGTGGTGGTGGTGGTGGTTGATATCTAAATCTCGGTCTATGTTTACTAGGATCGAACTCTTGATTCGCAAAAATGTCCTTGTGCTGCTTCAAGATCGACGTCGATGGCCGTGTGATTTTCGTAGAGAAATTATCACGGCTCTCATCCAATCTCCTTTTCTCATTCGTTTCTTTCGAGTCTTTCGACGAACTCGCGATTACATCACCGTTCTCAGAATTACGATTTTCAAGATTTGGTGGCGATGACAACGAGCGCATATTGTCTCTTCTACTTGGATACCTGAATGCAAGCGAATAGCGATGGAACTTGGAGTTATTGTTTTTGTTATACAAGATATCTAAGGTTCGTAATAAATTTTGAATAAATTAATATTTTCTCTAGACAAATTAAGAGGACTCCTATAAACGTAAAGGGATGACATTGAGAAATTAATCTCATTGAAGTTAAAATAAAAGTTTAGGAAAAAGATAAATATATATATATATATAAATGATGTCAGCCCTTAACGTCGTTCGATCAATTCGACAATATAATCGAATCAAAAAATGACGCGAGCCAGGAGACCTCAAGTACCATCGCTACCTATGTGCTACCCATCTTCCAGCAAGATAAGGCGTGATGTCCCTCAATTCACGAACATCAGGGGCGGACGTAAACATCTCGCCTAAAATCGATGTTTTTCCCTTCTTCTCAGGATCCTCAAACTTTCTTATTATCTTCTCGACCGGTTTTCTCGCAGCGAGTTCTTTAGTTTCGGCTTTCCTAGCGATGGAATTCGTTACTTTACTCGAAGAAACCGAGGAATCCTTTAGCTCTGCCATTTTACTGATAACATCTATATGAGGCATCGAAAGTGTGTCCAATCTCAATGGTACCCTTGGGATTGGTGGTGATTCCCCTCTTCGACGTGTCCTCCCTCTTTTAGATTCGTATTTTTTACGCAACCAATTGACATTGGAATATTCTTGCGGTTTCAACAATGTCGTCCTACTTTCTTCTATTTTCTTCAAAACGTTCCTAGCCAATTCCGGATCACTTTGAAATCTTTTTGGACGTATACGAAACTTATTCGACGAATGTAAATCCTCGAAACTACCCTCGAATCTATCTCGCAATTTTCTCACTGTACCGTTCTTCACCAATTTCAAATAAGCACGCCAATATCTTTCCGGATCGGGCGACGTTCCACGTTGGAATATACTCTCGACACTGCACGACGAGTTGGAACGCGTTGTAGCCCGACATGGACTGATGCTTTGTGGTCTCGAATCGCGTTCACGCTCCCATGAGCAACGTTGAAGCGACTGTCGCATGTCTACTTCCGCAGGAAGCCTGCTCTTGGATCGTTTCTTCCTCTCGATCGAACAACACGTTGTATCCCGATCGATCGATTCTTTCGAAGGTGACACTTTCCCTTCCTGTTTCTTCAATCGGACCTTCGATACATTCTCATCCGTTTCCTTTTCTACTAAACTTTCGATTTCCTTCATTTGACTTTTATCTTTTTTTATTTTAAAATCACCGAACTCCTCAGGCGAGATAGAACCAGTCTGATATTCCGATTCAAAGTCGCCAAATTCTTCCAAATCTTTTGATTTTTCCAACATCCTTTCCGACGATGCTGATTTCCTTCTGTACAACGGTATAGTCGAATATTCCAGTCGTGCCATTTCCGATTCACCGAATAGTTCTTTCAGATCAGCGAAA